AAATGCAGATGTTAACAGCAAACATGCTACAGAAATCTGCAGAGCATCTGGGAAGTATTCAAGTGGTTCTCTGCCCAACCATGTTCTCACATTGCCAATAATGTGCCCGCAATTTCCCCATGATGGATCTCCTCTCCTGAATTAACAACCCTATCAGACACCCCTTACCTTGTCCTGAGTTAGCTGCAGTCATTTAAAGGGATATCAATGTTGATAAGCCCTATACAGGGCTCTCCCTATTTCTTTAAACAAAACAATGTGCTAAATATTAATGCTAACTATAGTACCTGCCATCCAAGACAAAGCATGCCACAATAAAGTTATCATTCCATCTGGTAACAAACAAGCCCTCCTCAAGTCTCTTGGCAAACTCTATGGGTGGGCCTGCACTCGCCCAGTTCTCTCTCAGTACTGGTTGGAGGGGAGCACTAATTCCAGCCACCTGTGACAAGTGCACTAACTATTGCCTCCCTCCTGCTTCCCTTCCCTGAAGGTCCGGAGCTAGATATCTTCTCTGTAAAAGGATTGTGCCCCAGCCAGTCTTCTGCATGACCAGTGCCACAACCCTGAAATAATAATCAAAGCATATTTGGCACAGAAAAAAAAAGACAGGCAAAAAAACCAAACAAACAAAGGAACATGTATGGCAGCTCTATCCTAATCTGCTTAACAACCCTATGAATGCAGTTAGATAGGCTTTAAAACTGTATGGGAGTGGTTAAAGACCTTACACATTAGTAAAGCATCTTTCTCTTCCTCCAGCCTCTTAAGAGATGTTCACAATCCATCATCTGTGGCCTTGCTCACTAGAGGGGTTTCTACAATAACCTCCAACACTCCTCCACCCGTCCAAATGCACACATTTTCCAAAAACTGCTATCACTTGTGGTGCCAACAACAGTAGGTCAGAGACTAGTGTACCAGCATGTAACCCCCCCGCCTCATTTTTCTAACCCTGCTAAGTGTAAACAGAATTCATTAAAATTCCAGAAAACCACAGATTTGCCAACAGTGGGATTCCCACTATTGCATCCACAAATGGATCTAATACACTGGTAGCACCAGAGGGAAGTGTTAAGAAAATAAAGGTACATACATAAGGCCAAGCACTAAAAGTGTTGATCCTTATTTCTTTGCTCGTTTGTGCCTTGTGTAGCCTCTCCCAAGATATTCTGCAAATTTGTAAACCGTTATACAAGATATGAGCCAATGGAAAACCTAGCCCTGTATTTGCAGGTTTATAGTACCTAATCTTTTGGTTTAGTCATTGATATAGAAGTATATAATTCCATCAGAGTTTATTAGGTACATTGTATCTTTATTTCTCTAGGCACCCAGTTTTTAATGCAACGCATTGCATATTCTCTGTGCATTTCAGAGAAGGTTTTTTTTGTTTTGGGGTTTTTTTCCAGCCTTGCTTTCCAAGAAGCAGCCTTAGAAAACACTTTATTAACTGTAGGGGTTTAGGTTGTAGCCGTGTTGGTCTAAGGATATAGGCAGACAAGGTTCCTTGGGTGAATTTGATATCTTTTATTAGACCAACCCAAATGGTTGGAGAATAGTTATTAAGCAAGCTTTCGGGTTCAAAAACCCTTCGTCAGGCTCAGGAAGCTGCAGCAGTTGGTGTGTGCTCTTCCATCCAGAAAGAGCACGCACCAACTGCTGCAGCTTCCTGAGCCTGACGAAGGGTTTTTGAACCCGAAAGCTTCTTAATAACTATTCTCCAACCATTTGGGTTGGTCTAATAAAAGATATCAAATTCACCCAAGGAACCTTGTCTGCCTTTATTAACTGTACAAACTTGTGTACAAAAGTTACCTGAAGTGTTAAGTGCTTTCCAACCATTCTACTCAATGTGCTTTATGACACAATCTTTCTGCTCACTGTTCTTCTTTAAGGAAAACTCATATATAGGCCTGTTAAGCTTGACTGAGACCCTTCAAGTTGATCCCCTTTCCAATTTTGACTGACCCATGTTTTCTTAGTTCTTCTTTGCCCAACCAAGGTTCACAAATCTGCATTTGTGAAGCTGTCAAGACAAAAATACATACCAGATGAATGCATACTAAATGAATTTCCAAGAAGTCAATTCCAATTCTTCTCTAGCACCACACAGCAGTAGCTCATCTATTGAGACACATTGGCTTCCTGTGTCAAATTGAGATCCTTTTTTTAATCATTATATACTCTTTTAGCAAGAACCAGTAAAGAGTCATTCCATGTTTCAGCTAAACACAAGCATGTTGAGAAATACCCCCAAGTCCTGCCCAAAGGCGGGGTTTTGTAGACCAGATACTTGCTTAAAAGGGATTAGCCACATCTGTTTTGTTGTTCTATTTTTTTAATAGTTCCTAAAGGCTTCCATGGATGTTTTGTAAACACAACTGTTCTGAAGTTTTTGCTGAAGAGTGAGTTGGTATCTTTATATGAAGATACTAGAACAACAACAAAAAACATGTTCATTTAATTGGAGTGTTCTGCACTGCACTGCACAGTTCAACACTAACCCTTCTATCAACAAAAGACTGTATAAATCTTTACCATTTCTTCTGGCTACTTCTACAGCCTACAAAATTCACCTGACTTCCCCACATTTAATTCATGCTCTAGTTCCCATTAAAAACTGCCCAGCAGCACACAGATGGATACATCTTGCTCTCACTGAATTGAGTGATCCAGGATCAGATTCACAGAGCTGGATGTTAAAAATATACCCAATGCCTCTCAGTCCATTAGTTCACTGGGACACTATTCTTACCTTTGGCCTGAGAAAGAAGTTCAGAGCCTTCATATCCACCCCTTTGGATAGGTTCAGTCATAGATTTCTAAGGCTGCAAATCTTTCTAAGAATCTTTACAATCCAACTTGAACTCTTTACGAACACATATCCTAGGACCTCACCCAGTAGCTTCAGAATCCACTCCTGTTTGAGATGCACTATTCCTTGACAGAGCTATCCAGTCTTGGCTTAAAGACTACACATGCTAAAGAATTAATTGGAAATTTGTTCCAAACAGCTAAATTACCCACACAGTTGAAGTCCAAGTTTTATTTCTAGTCTGACTGTTTTATTTTCAGCTTCTAACCATTGAGCTCATTATACTTCCTTTTGCCTAGGTTAAAGAACGGTCTGTTGGCAATATTATAGGTGCATGTACAATGCAAGTCACCTCTTACCCTCCTCTGAATAAACTTAAGGAAACCAAGCTTCTTTAACCTCTTACTGGGATGCCATTTTGAAGCTTGGAAAACATTCCTGTAAGTATTTTCCTAAATCTTCCAATTTGTCAACAACCTTTTTTGAAGTGTGAGCACCAGAACAGAGCACAGTATTGCATTAATGATCTCACTAATGCTATATACACAAATCCTACTTGCTATTCTTCTGCTTAAGTTTCCATGTATTATGTTAGCCCTCTTAGCTGTGGCACCATACTGGGATCTTATCTATTATGACCTTCAAATCCATTTCAGGGTCACTGTATTCCACTATAGTCCATCTTGCATGACCTATGCACTTCAAGCCTACCTGAATATAGCTGTATTAAAACACATTATTCCAGATAATGCACTTCTGCAAGTGATGCAGATCACTCTGTATGTGGACCTGTCC